AATCTACTCTCCCTCTAATTCTTCCTCCCCTTTCTCTTTTTTACCTATTTCCCTACTGAGTGAAATTTATTTCTGTACCCAACTCTCTCTACATATATATGTACAGCTAGGTAATGCAAGTAAATAGGGTGCCAGGCCTGAAGTCAGGAAGACTCCTCTTCCTGAATGCAAATCTAGTCTCTCACACTTACTAGCTATATAGCCCTGTTTACCTCAGTTTGCTCATCTCTAAAATGAGCTCATCTCTAAAAGGAAATGGAAAATTACTCCAGTATCTTTGCCAAGAAAACCCCAAATGGGGTCATGAAGAGTTGAAAATGACTGAACAACAACAAAGATCATACTGTTATTTTCAAAGCTATCCTGCATGCCTGGCCTTTCTGATCTTTTCTCTGCATTTTAAAAGATGGTTCGATGATTGTCTTTTTTATTTTTTGTCTACCCTATTCCTTTCTTTCTTATCCTTCTATCCTCTTCCTCCACATTGGTTGGGGGGGAAAGGCAAAAAAGAAATCCCTTGAAACAAATACACACCATATATTTGTTGAGTGTCTCTCTCTTTCTGTCTCCACACACACACACACACACACACACACACACACTTGCTGACTGTATGTATGTTGGACTATCTATCTATCTATCTATCTATCTATCTATCTATCTATAGTCTGTTTATACTATATGTTAACTATATATGCTATATGTTAACTAGATTTGGTGATATATGTGTGTGTATGTATGTGTGTGTGTGTATATCTATATCTATATCTATGTCTATGTCTATGTCTATATCTATATCTATATCTATATCTATATCTATATCTATATCTATATCTATATCTATATCTATATCTATATCTATATCTATATCTATATCTATATCTATATATCCTCTTCACCTTAATTTTGTTGCAGACGTCTACCTAATGTGTTAGGGGATTTTCTTCATGTGTCCTTTACCTAGGCCAACATTCAGTGTTTGAGAATATGTTTAAGTTCATCCATATTAATGAGTCATATTTCCATATTGAAAAACAAAAGCATAATTAGTGGAACATTGTGCTCATTTCTCTCTCTGTGAACCATATTTATGTATTACAGCAGGCTGTTCAAACCATGAATGTAAAGAATCTGCTAGCACCTGGTGGCAGGATATCCTAATTACAAGTTCATTTATTTTGACTGGCACATAAACATACATTAGAAGTTGAAGCTACAAACACAAACATCAGCAAACATAATAATGTACTAATCATGGGTATAACCTAAAGGTCTTGATGCCTGTCCCACTTTGGAAAATAAAAGACAGCTTTTTTGTACAATGTTTTGTACAAATTAGGTGTCTAAATAGTTGTTGAATGAATGAATGAATGAGTCAGTCAATAACCAGTCAAGAACCATTTTTTAAAGTGCCTACTATGTGTCAGGCACTGTGTTAACTGCTGAGGATCCAAAAAAAGGCAAAAGACTGTCCCTGCCCTTGAGGAGCTTATAATCTAATGGGAGAGACAACATGCAAGCAAATATGAATGTTCTTCTGGAACAAGAACCCTCAATGATTATTTTTAATACCTTAAAAGCCTAAGATGAGTGACTCTGGAGGACTTTATTTCACAATGTGACACGAAATAAAATGATTACCAAGAGTTGTTGGAGTTGTCTGCTTCCATCTACAGAAGTACTAAATTTTCAGTACTCAACTCCTCCTCCCTCCTGACCACGGAGGTTAGTGGTGCACATTCCATCCATTTTTTTATCATGGTAGGATTTTCAATTTCCTGATTCTGCATTTTCCTAGTTCAGGTTCATTACCTCTCTCCTAAAGGTGTTTTAATACTTAAAGCACTCCCAGTTCCCAAACCATTATCTCAAGTGCCCATCAATTCCTATAGTCAGCCCTTGTAAGTGGTATAATTTAGAAGCTTTCCAAAGACCTCTGAGGCATGACCATGTCTAGCTGTAGCAAATTTAAATGTCAGTCTTAGACGCCTGCAGTGACATTCAGATGTACTTTCTTTAGGTTGGTGGATGATTTTAAATATAAGCAAATCTTATCATTGTTATTCTTTCCTCCCTTTTATCCCCCTTCCTAATCCCCATCAACCCCATGCATGAGCATGTTCTGATGAAAAGAGCACTGAATATCAAATTAGAAGATTGGATTCAAATTCTAGCTCTACCACTTACTACCTGTGTGACTATAGGCAAGTCACAACTTCGCTGAGGCTCAATGTTCTTATCTCTAAAATAAGAGGGTTGTACTCAATCCATGGGGGTCCCCTCTAGTTCTAAATGCATGATCATGTGATCCTAAGGATATCAAGTCCTCTGCAAGAAAATAAACAGTAGAAGTCCATTAGGAATTTCAACTCTGGCACAGGCCACCTGGAATTTAGCTTTCAGGAGGCCTGACCAATTAAGGAATTGAGGGGAGTATGTCCAACATATACAAGTGCTCCATTAAAAAGACCCTATGGGAAAACAGGTTAATAAATTAGGCCCAGAATTAACCCGGGGAGAAAAGCTGACTGGATTCTGTTTGGGAAATTACAAAGCTCCCTTAATGTAGCTAAACTTCTCCTCAAAATAAAAGCCCATCTTTTCAAAACCAATATCGTACCAGGTTTGTATGTGGGACTGGGAACTAAACTCCAAAGACCAAAAATGAACATGACACAGAGAACAATGGAGAGCTGCATAATGGACATGAGCAGGCTATACTTTATAATCAAAGACCTTGGAAGAAGACTAGGAGTGAAAGCTTTCATTAGGGAAATCTATAATAGGAAATGAAGATGAACTAGTATTTGGTGAGATAGAAGGATGACAGTTGGACAGCCAGGGTGTTCCACTGGTATCCTCATTGTGTCAGGAGAAAGCAAAGAAGCCTTCTAGCACCTGTGTGATGGGGGCAAGAGTCCCATAGGATGTGCAAAAATTGATGGGTTCTCCTCTGCATCATTGGCAAGAACATCCAAACAGATCACAGACCTGATGTTTGAATGCTGGAGCATGGTGTGAGCCCAGCAAGCACTCATTCCTTGGATAGCCCTGAGCTCCTCCACCCTTGAACCATCTTGGCTGGCATTTCTTACACTGGGGTTTACTTCAGTATTTTGAACCTATGCTGGTGTCTCAACCTTTCCTTTATATGACTTTCTGGCCTGAAGTGCTCCCTTTTATCCTACTCTGCTGTTTTGACCATGGCTTAGTTCCTCTGACCTCTGGTTTTCACCTGGTTTCTGTTTCCAATATCTTGCTTCTTGCACAAGGCATAGCTAGCCAGCTCTTCAGGGTGGCGCAGCTTGGTTTCTGCCATTAATCTGGAACTGGCTGCCACCTAGTGGCAGGACATGATACATGCTGGATGCAAACTACCAAACTGGAGCACTATTTCCTACACTCTCTCCCAATTCTCCCCTCCTTTTTCTTTCCTTAGTTTTCTCTTTCCTTCTTTTTTCTTGCCTCTTTCTTCTTTCTTCATATTCCCTGACCCCTTTCTTCCAAGCCTTTTATTCTCCCAGGACTGGCATACTCTTCCTCCTTTTCTTGGGCTCCTGACTTTCCTGGCTTCCTTCAAGTTTTAGCTCAAGTCCTGTTTTCTCTAAGAAGCCTTTCTTGGTCTGTCTCCTCCTTCAACTTCTCCAGTGTCTTCCTTCTGAGACAATTACCAATTTATCCTGTGTCTATATCTTGTTTATACACAATTGTTTGCATGTTGTGTCCTTCATTAGGCTGTGAGTTCCTTGAGAGCCTTTCTTCTACTTCTCTTTATATCCCTGTCGTTAGCCAAGTGCCTAGAGCACAGTAAATGCTTAATAATTGCTTGTTGACTTGACCTCTTGACTTGACTTTTCCATTTTCACTTAATCCCTCCCATCCCACCTTTTCCTTTTAACTCAATCCCTCCCTTTCTGTTTCCCTTCTTTCTTCCTTTCTTTGTAATTCTTTAAAGTTACTGAAAAGATTTGCAAAATGATTATGAATTCAGGATCCAGCTGGAGTAGTATCCTCTTGGAAGGAAGAGGTAGAGGTTGGTGATATAATATAAATATGGGATCTTTAGTATTTTCAAATTGATAAAGGAATGATTTGGGATTTTCCAAGATAGGCAATGGTTGTCATCAATGTGTTACTGTGTTCTGTGAATCCCTAAAAAAGGAAATAAACAGCCTACAGATTCTTGAATCATAAGCATTAGGTGGTTTAATGGATAGAATGCTGGACTTGGAGCCAGGAAGACCTGAGTTCAAATCCTGCCTCAGAGGCTTACTAGCTTTGTCCCTCAGTTTTCTCTTCTGTAAAGTAAGGATAATAATAGTGCCTACATGGGACTGTTATGTGAAGATCAAATGAGATAATGTGTGTGAAGCACTTTGCAAATTTTAAGGTGCTATGTAACTATTATATGATAAATATAGTAGGTGCTGTATTCTTATTTTCATAGATTTAGAGCTGGAAGAAACTTAAGGAGCTATCTCATGCAGCTTCTTAATTTTACTGATGAGGAAGTAAGCTGACTTACCCAAGACTGAATAGGTAGTAAGTAGAAGAGCGAAGATTTGAACACAGATCCTATGACTAGAGTGGTCTTCTCTTTGGGGGCTGTCCCACCCCACAGTGGAGTGACTCATTTAAGGATAATAAGGAAGAGTGACTGAGTGGATAGCAAGCAGGGCATTAGAAGGGTGAGTTCTAAGTAGACTGGACCATAATTACCCTATTTGCCCCACTGCAATAATGGATACTTTTACATTTGTAAAATTTATTAAGATTTTGGTGGAGTGTCCTCCAAAAAGAATTTAGTTGAATGGATAGAATGGGAGATTTCTTCTTCTCTCTCTCAAGATTTTCCTCATCTATAGTACTTGACAGCTTTAGTAATTGTGAAAAATGGAAACGATAACTTTGCAACTTGAAAACTGTTACCTGAATTTTTTCAGAGCTGTGAAAAAATCCTCTATTGAGTTGAATTAATAATCTTTTTTTCCCTATGACAGGTGGTGAAGTTTACCAAATCCTTTGAACTGATGTCTCCCAAATGCAGTGCTGATGCAGAGAACAGGTAGAGTTTATGGCTATCATGTTTCTCATTTCTTGCTATATAGTCCATGCTTCTCCATACTAATAACCTCTTTCAGCATGCCATCTTTCAAGAGAAAACTGAAGTAAAAATTGATCTAGCTGCTCATCTGCATTTCATGGCTATACCTAATGATGGTTTTTCTATGTATCTCTAATCAACAATTGGATTTTTAAGATTGAATGTCAGCACTTGAATGTCAGCACTTGATCTCTGATTAAAATTTTGTCTGTTTTATTTCTTAATGCTAAACTTTATCATGTTTCCAAAGTGAACTTTAACAGAATCTTCTGATTTTTAAGCAAGACACAAGTCTCATTTATGTATGTTTACTGGAAAATCTACTATCAATCCTCCTAAACCTTTTCTTAGTCAGCTATTTTTACTTCCTGCACCAAACCAGAGCTGCTAAACAATTATAGCAGGTTCTCAATCACTCTAGCACTGTATTCAGTTCATTTTGATAGCTAATTTCTGGCCTTTGTCTTTTCTCTCTACTGGTTGATCACTGTTGGTCACCAGAGTATGAACAGGAAGACAAAGAGGGAATAATTTTACTCAGCAAGTTTTGATATTTGCCATACTTTCTAATACGAGAATTGGTTTGTTGTAGGAAAAGTTATAACATAGATAAAGTGAGGTTTTTTGAATGTCTGTGAATCTCTGTCTATTTTGCATGAATTTCCATGGATAAACAGGAGTTGGCCACCATAAAAATGAATTATTTTAATTTTGCCCATCCCTTTCCCTTAGTTATTTTTAACAGAGGAGCTATTGAATAGTGAAATCAGTGAAATACAGAGACAAATAAAGGGCCTAGATAATTTGATTCAAAAACTAGCTCTGGTATATAAAAGCTGTTGATTATTGCTTATATCCTAGACCATCACCCTGGCCAACACTAATTTACAATAACATTATTAATATAGCATAACTGAACCCCCACGCAGAGCAGCAAACTCCATTGTAATTCTAGCTAATCTCTGGTAATGCAGTTTCCATCACACTTCAATCAGTCCTCTGAGAGCCTTTAAATACTTAAGCTAATCAGAAAGTAGCTGCTGGGTGGGACTGGGGAAGCATCAGCCCCTCCCAAGGGATCATTCTATGTGACTTCATGCTTGCTCCCCATCTTCCCTCCACCCCACGTAGCTTTGACTCTCTTTAGTTTCTAGAGAAAATGAAACCGGTACCACAAGTAACTGACTGCTTCCTTCCAGGGCCCATGCAGTGGCAATCTACTGAGGAAAGTCAGAAAATCACGAAGGGGAATAAAATTAAATGAATGTCAACTCAAGTACATAAGCATTTATGTAGCACCTACAGTGTGGCAGGCACATGTTCCCCTGTGCTAAGCACTGAGAATGCAAAGAAAGGCAAAAAATGGTCCCTGCCCTCAAGGAGTTCATAGTCTAATGTGGAGGACAAGATACAATTAGCCACAAATAAACATCCTCTGTCTCCCTCTGTCTCTCCCTCTCTCTCTACATGTGTATGTATATAATCATCATATATATGCATATATGATGATTATATATATACACAATTTTATATGTATATATATATATACAACATATAATGTATATAAAATCTCAGAGGGATAGCATCAGCATTATTGAAGATTGGGAAAGACTTCTTGTTTTTGTTTTTTTTGGTTAGGCAATGGAGTTAAGTGACTTGCCTAGTAAGTAGTTATGTGTCTGAGGCCAGATTTGAACTCAAGGTCCTCCTGAATCCAGGGCTGGTGCTCTATCCACTGCACTACCTAGCTGCCCCATGGGAATGGCTTCTTATAAGAAAGAATAATTTTAGCTGGTACCTGGAGGAATCCCAGGAAGCTAGGAGATAGAAATGAGGTGGAAGAATGTTGTAGGCATGAGGGGTAATCAGTGAAAATGCCTACATTAACAATATTGTGTCGGAGGAAAAGTGAGGAGGCCAGTGTCATTAGATTGCAGTGCACGTGAGGAAAATAACATTGAAGACAACTGGAAAGGTAGGAAGGGGATGGATTATAAAGGACTTTAAAAAACAAATGGAGGAATTTATATTTGATACTGGTGGTATTAGGGGGTCACTGGAATTTGTTGAATGGAAGAGGTGACATTCACATCTGAACTTTAGGAAGGACAGAATAGTGTGGGGAGAGATTTGTGGCAAGAAGACCAGCCAGAATGCTATTGCAATAGTTCAGGTTGTGAAGGCTTTAAAAGCCAAATAGAGGAATTTGCATTTTATCACAGAGACAAGAGGGAGCTACTGAAGATTCTTGAGTAGGGGAGTGACATCATCACATCTGTGTTTTATAAACATTAATTTGGCAGCTATGTGGAGAATACCTTGAAATTAGAAGAGACCAGAATTTGGGAAGACCAATTAGAAGACTATTGTTTTCTACTGAGAAGTGATGAGTCTGGGAACTAACGTAGAGGCTATGTGAGTGAAGAAAAGGGAACAAATAAAAAGGATGTTGCAGAGGTAGAATTGAAAAGATTTGGTGACTTACTAAATATGAGAAGTGAGCAGTAGCATGCAGGAGCCAGCTCAGAGTGATTCACAACAGCCAGTTATTAAATTTTCAGTGTAATCATGTACACCTCAGAAATCAGTAAAGGCTACAAATTACAGCTTGATTTATTGTTTTGTTGATATCCTAGACTTAAGAAAATGATGGAGGAATGTTAATAAGATAGATTAAACTTTAAAGTGTGACACAGGTACAATTCTTTTGTCCCAGAGATCCAGCTGCTAAACATTTGTCAGCAAACCACTGAGACAGAGAGGAAAAGGGAGAGGGAGAGAGAAAGGAAAAAGTCCTAGGGAGGGTAGATTTAGTATTACCATAAAAAAAAGATTATATAGCCTCGAGTTTACATAATTACATATTTCGAACTTTTACAGTCGGTAGGATCTGTGTTCAAATCTTGGCTCTTCTACTTACTACCTATTCCGTCTTGGGCAAGTCACCTCACTTCCTTATCAGTAAAATTAAGCATGGGTGGGGAGCCTGCGGCCTCAAGACCACATGTGGACCTCTAGGTCCTCAAGTGTGCCCCTGTTTAAGAGGTTAGACTAGATAGCTCCTTAAGTTTCTTCCAGCTCTAAATCTATGAAAATAAGAATATTGCACCTATTACATTTATCATATAATAATTACATAGCACCTTAAAATTTTCCAAGTGCTTCACACATATTATCTTATTTGATCCTGACATAACAGTCCCGTGTAGGCACTAACCGATGAGAAAACTGAGGAACAAAGCTAGTAACTCAAGAACATGATGCCATTATTTGTTGATAGAAGGTGCATTGTTATGAAACCTAGTGTTAATACTTTAAAAAAAATCAGAAAATATATTAATAATTCAAAATATCTTGCATTTGGAGGACATACTGCAAAACCTATTCAGGGTACCTACTGAGAGATAAGACAATAACTTCTTTTGTATGCAAACCTCTTTCCCCAATTGATATGGAAAATCAGTAGAAGTACTGAGATCTGAGAACTTCCTTCTTTTCTCTATTCTAATACCTCAGAGGGAATTGCTTTGGGGACAAAATGTACACATGATTGAGAAAGGCATCCAGGTCTAGCTTTCCCCTCCTTAGTCCTTCATTAGGCAAAAGTTTCTTTTCCTTCTTGTAGACATTCAGGACTTGTCTATACAGTAGAAGGCAGCTAGATGGCTAAGTGGATAGAGTGCTGGCCCTGGAATCAGGAGAACCTGAGTTCAAATGTGACCTCAGACATTATTGCATGACCCTGGGCAAGTAACTTAACCCTGTTTGCCTCAGTTTCCTCATCTGTAAAATGAGCTGGAAAAGGAAATGGCAAGCCACTCCAGTAACTTTGCCAAGAAAAACCCCAAATGGGGTCATAAAACAACTCTACAGTAGAGCTGTGGGTATGTGTTATTTCATCTGTGTTATTGTTGTTGCACCAATTAGCCATTTTTTCCAAAATAGAAGTGAGTTCCTCATTCTTCTTTTTCAACAGTTCGTTAAAAAAAATCAATTTCAGCAACTTCCTGATCTAAGTGAGTCACTGTTTCTTCCAATTTCTGATGACCTTTTTTTTTAAGACCCACTTCTGCCCTCTTCTAGGCACTGAGAATCCATTTCCTCTTTTATCTGCCACCAACTTGTCACTGACTACTAAGATTACAGTCTTAGATGATTGTTGATTGCACCTTCTCTGCCAAGATAAACAATGGTTATGTGTAGGAGAATAAGAGAGAAACTGTGAACTTGTAGCAGGATTTTAATCAACAGGGGTAAATAAGAGTAGCCTGAGTGGGCACTGGAATCCAGAAGGTGTCCTTGGCCTCCTGTGCTGCGTGGAAGGGGTTTGTGATCATCTAATCAGAGTGTTGTCCCCCAAGGTGGACAGTCACAATTTATCTCTAGCACAACCAGACCATCTCCTTCACCCATTATTGCCCAGTACTTTCCCACCTTATCTGCTGGCCTTTTATCACTGTGGCAACTCCTAACCTTCTCCTTTTATCTACCCAGAGATAGCCTCATGGGGTGACTATAGCCTAAATCTGACCCAAGCATTAAGTAGGCATCATTCCCCCCTCCCTCTGCAACCACTGTGCCCATAACCTGCCCACTAGAATACCCCATTACTGAAACAGGAGCTCTACCCCCATTTTACTCCCTTCCTGGCTGGTGTTCTGGGTAGATTTTGTGGCTCTGGAATAGTGGTCTTTAAGATATCTCCCCTGCCTCCTCCCGCCCAAGTTTTTAGTATCATTATTTTTTTTTTGGTGGAACAAAGTAAGTAGCACTGATGAATAAACACTAGTGGGTTGTGAGCCACATTGCAGATCTCATTGTATTTTTATTCCCCCCAAACCCACACCTCTTTTGAACTTTCCTATTTCTTCATAAGGTGCCACCATCCTTCCAGTCATGCATGTTTTAACCCCAGTGTCATCTTTGAGTCTTTATTTTCATTCACGATATCCATCCAGTTA